GGAAGATTTTGGAACTCCTTTCTCTGGGAATCTTTATAAGTTCTTTGCTTTTCGGGGATGCTTCTATGCAATTTTTGGTCATCAGATCATATATTTATATAAATACACAAATATATAATTATACTACAATTACTCATAAATATTTTACATATGTAAAGAGAGATACAGATTTATGTCTCTCTATTTATCTATAAAGTTACATATAGATTTTTCTCTAAATCTCTCTATTTATCCAACTCTCTCTCCATCTCTCTCAAAGCTAGATATGACTAAGCAGCCAGCCCTATCATAGCTTTGATGTTACTAAAGTATATTCTGAATTCCCTTCTCACATTTTTCTGAAGTCACATTTCCCATATTGTTTCCTTATAGACTGAGTCGCCCAGCATTTATTAAGCACCTATTACGTGCCCAACGTTGTGCTTAGCACTAAGGACACAAAGAAAGGCAGAAAACAGTCCCTGTTCTGAAGGTGCTCATAGTCTAATAGGGGACACGCATTAAAAAAGACTCCTCCCTTCCCCTCACCCCATCCCCAGCAAAGAGTAATGGCTTCTACTACAGCTGCAGCATCAAGATGAGAATAAGATATAAAATAATCAGGCAGTATCTTCAAGAATAAGATCTTTAAGATAAACATAAACTAATTAAAGCCACAATAGGAATAATGGAGGCCTCAGTCTTTTTTTTTTAACTACTACTTACTAGTAATGGTAAAACAATTGCACATTTTTATAACAGAAAAGGGTTAAAAGTAATTAGGGGTACATTGTTTATTGGGGGAATAGGGTCAGGAGATTTTTTTGGGGTGTACCATTTTATAGTGGAAGGATTTGGGTTAACAAAATATATTTAAAAACTACATTCAAGGCTCAGAAAGGGCTACTGTGATATTTGAACAGTGGAAGAACTTGGGAAGCATCAAACCTTGTATCACAAGGGTCCAGTGAGGCAGATTTCTCTTGTTAATAGATGTAATTGATCATCATTGCTCCCTGTTAGGTTCTATTAGGGCAAGGGTATGGTAATACTTTGGCTGAACGAATAGGCTATGATTGGTCTGATAAACCCTTGGGAGATATCAGAGGTCAGATGGTTTCCAGCCTCTGTGACCTTTATGACTTATGGTCATGGGGAAAGCCTTTAAATCAGAATATCATATGAGAGAGATTTATAGGTGAAGGTGATGTCATTTTTGTATGGGAGAGAGATTTGTGTTTGAATGGAGGAAGAGAAATGGAGGGTCCTTTTAGAGACCTTTCCCAACTTTGATAAGGCTCAAAGTGGGAGGTTGGACAAGGGTACTATTTTAAAGGAAAAGGAAAGAGAGATGTAAAAACCAGTGATTCTACAGGCCATGTGGGGGGAAATTAAGGATTTATGGCAATGGTGCAGAAAAAATACGAGACTAGTGCTTAGGAAGATAAAATTCAGTAGAAGAGATTACTGACACAGCAGAGAAAGATTCAGAGGGACTGTCGGTCATAAGAACAGAGACTGATGATTCAAGAACACAAAAAGGAGCTGGGCAGGGCCATGGAAAAGGGGCAACAATCTTAGTTCCCTGTGCTACCAATTTTGGTGTTATTTCCTCACAGACACTTTACCTTCAGGGTCTGACCACCCTCACACCGGCAATGTGGCCATATAAAGGAAGATGAATTTTAGTTATTACTACAGCCATCAGACTAATATTCTAAGGCTTGAAGAAATGCCAGGTGATGGGGTGCAGGGGAAAATGAACCAGATTTGGACCCCAATGACGTGAGTTTAAATCCCAGCTCTTCTCCCATGCTACCCATGTGAGCTAAGGTAAGCAAGTTAACCTCTCTGGGACTCAGTTTCCTCATCCATAAACCCAGGGGGTAAAATGTCCTATTAACCTCGAAAATTTATGATCCCAGCAAGCCTGTTCTAGGTTCCCATGGATTCAATCTTTAAAAAAAAAATACATTTTTGTTGATATATTTCATTTTTTATATTACCTGCTTTTTTCAAAGTATCCCCTCTTTCCCTTCCAGAGAGCTATCCCTTGTAACAAATTTTTTTAAAAAGGGGAAAAACCAATTCAGTAATATTAACCAAAACGTTGGAAATGTCTGAAGTTATATGAAATGTTCTACATCTCTATTCTCACATCGGCGAAGAAGAGGAGGTGAAAGTGTTTCTATCTTTTCTTTCTGGGGCTAAGCATCATCAGTATAAGGGCAGTAGGTGGCGCCATAGTGCACAAAGTGCGGGGCCTGGAGTCAGGGGGACTTCGGAGTTCAAATGTGACCTGACACTTGCTGTGTGACCCAGAGAAAGGGACTTTGCTCTGTTTACCTCAATTTCCCCACCATGTTATGAGTGATTTGGAGCATTCTTTTATGTGGTTATTAGCACCTTCCAATTCTTTTCAGAAATGTTTATTCATATCCTTTGACCAATAAACTAAATTTTAATTTAGTTAAGAAGTTTAAAAAATGCTATACCAGGGGCAGCTAGGTGGTGCAGTGGATAGAGCACCTGGAGTCAGGAGGACCTGAGTTTAAATCCGACCTCAGACATATAACACTCACTAGATGTGTGACTCTGGGCAAGTCACTTAACTCCAATTGTCTCTCCCCCCCTCCCCCAAAAAATGCTATACCAGAATTTATCTTTCCTATATTGTCCCCCCCTCCCCTAGGAAAAAAAGTGGTAGTGGTGGAAAACTGTTCAATTTTTTAAAAAACTGACTTCAAAAGAAACATACTCATTTTTGTTAGGTAGGACATATTTTTAAAAACTTTTGTTTCTGTTTTTGCCTGTTAGCTTCTATTCTCATACAAAGTAGTTGCTCAGGTCAGATATCTGAATTAAAAACTAGTGTGGCCAGAAGACCGCAGATGGCTAATTAGAAAACTGAACACCAGGTAGAGCCCTGGGGAGGCTCCCCATCTGACTGGTTTACCTGCAGTTTACAGCGTCATTTACCACTGGCTTGTTTTGTGTCTGCTCGTCCTTATATTCTACAAACACCTTACCCTGTCATGTACTGGGGACATCTGCAATATAATACTAACCTCAGGGTTCTGTGTGGCTCAACTACGGGATTTTTAGGATGTACCTACTACTCTTCTCCTGGGAATCCAAGGTGAATAAGAAAGTGCAACATGTCTCTAGGGAAAATGAAGTATATGGAGGACTTAAGTTTGGGTGGAACTGAAAATGAAAAGATCAGGTATATTAGGGCAAACTTAAGAGAAAGTAGGAAAAGAATGGCTTGGTTAACATACTGTGGTTTAGTCTCATCTGATTCTTTGTGACCCCATTTGGGGTTTTCTTGGCAAAGATACTGGAGTGGTTTTTCATTTCTTTGTTCAGCTCATTTTACAGATGAGGAAAGAGAGGCAAACAGGGTTAAGTGACTTGTCCAGGGTCACATAGCTAATAAGTGTGAAGCCGGATTTGACCTCAGGAAAAAGTTTTCCTAATTTAGGGCCCAGCACTCTATCCACTGTGCCCCCTAGCTGCCCTAAACATACCTAGATGTTATCTTTTGTGGGATTCCAGATCCCAGAAGGGAAGTTTTCTAAAAGCAGCTGAAATCCTGGAGAATTTATATAAACTTAACTGACACATTTTTTCTAAAATGAGGTTAGAATTTCATTTCTCACGGCATGATGGCGCCTCCTTATACGGAGCTTAAGTTTAGAGGCAAAAAGATTGGTGAAGCTCTGGAAAGGCTAACAACGCCAACATCCTGGGCAGCAAAGTTTTAGTTAAATTTGCTTTAGAGACCTGGTACCGTTCCTTGGGCAAAATAAACAATTCATAGAACTTGACGCCAAGATTTTATCGTAAACGCTTAACTTTTTTTAGCATGTTTATTTAGCTGTGTTTGGGGGCCAGACCAAATGTGCTGCGGTCGTTGGGTCGTGTTTTGGTGAGCTTTAATGACTGAGTGTCCATCCACCAAATACTGAAGAGCTGTCACAAACGCGGTGCAAGACAAGTACGCGCATCTTGGGCAGTCTGCAGCCAGCACAGCAGGTGGTCTCCTCCGCGTCTGCCCCGGCGCAGGGCTTCTCAAGCGTCCACTGCGGCCCTTAGAGTTAAGCTCTCAGTCCTTCCGACAGAGACATCTTCCACCTAGGTCCAGCTGTTAAACGCGTCACTCAGACCTCCAAGCGTGGTGACAGCGGGCCGAACATACCGTCGGTCCAGCGCTTGCTCCCCCGCCCCTGCGCGGGCCCGGGGCTGCCGGCCTTGTCCCGGGGCGCAGCCCCCTGAGCTGGGGCTCCCCCAAAGGGGCAGCGGGCGCCCCTCGAGATGCCCGCCGGGGCTCCGGGACTCCTGGGGGTGGCCTCAGGGCAGGCCGGGCGATCGGAACCGGGCACTTCTGTGGTCGAGGATGGGGTTTCCGGACGGGCCCGGGGATGACCAACGTGGGGGTCAGGCTCCCGCTTGGGCCGGCCACCTTGGCCGCCACCCCGCGCGGGGGGAAGGGATGGGCTTCAGCCCCACCTCGGGTGTTTTCATCCCCACCGTGGATGTGTGGATGTGCAGGGGCCCTGAGGCACACAGCAAGCGCTTAATAAAGGCGCTGGCCTCACCTGCCCCGGCAGGGGAACGCCGCAATCCCGCGGCGGGCTACCGGGGACACTGACCAGGGGTGACCCTCTGCCTCGCGTCCTCATCTGTACAATGGGCACGACCAGGGCACCTCCCTCGGCTCCCGGGCAGCTGGAGGGCCAGAGGCGATCGCGAACCAAGAAAGCGCTTCGAGAACTCGGAAGCGCTCTATAAGCCCCGTCACCGCCTGACCCATACGGCGAGAGGAAGTGTCCGGGTCGGGCCGCTCCACGCCCCGCTCCACCGTTCCTGACCCGGGCTCCTCGGGTCAGCGCCCTGGCCCGCGGCCGAGGCGCCGGCAGCAGCGCGAGGAAAGCGCTCGCGTCCGAGGAAGTGCGTCCCTCCTCGCTTGCCTTATGCCGGGCACACCGCGGACCGCACCACTGCGCGCTGGGACGGAGGGGGAGGCTCACGTGCAGCTTCCGATCCCAGCGGGCGGCGGCGGCTCCGAGAACCCCTCGGCCCACGAACCGGACCCAGGCCGTACGGTACTTCCCCGAGATCGGGAGCAGGGCGCGGGACAGGGATCCGCGGGGGGCGGGCGGCCGGCGGCCGAGGTAATATCCCCCGTGCCCCTTCCCCTCCCCTCTCAGTTTCCCCGGGCCAAGCGGAGATGGGGTGGTCCGCGGGGGAGGGGAGGCCCCGGGGTGGCGGCGCGTGGCCGCCTCGGCGCCTAGCTCCTTGACAGCTCCCGGAGGTCCGGGACTGAGAGCGGGCCCCGAAGGGGCGGGGCTTGAGTGGGGGGCGGGGCTAGGGGGCGGTCCGGGGAGCGAGCGCGAGGAGCGCGCGCGGGCCGCGTGAGACGGAGAGGGAGGGAGGGAGGCGGAGGCAGAGGCAGGGCTAGGCTGGGCTGCCGGCGGCTCGGAGGGACAGTGCGGCGTCGCCGGGCTCCGGGCTCCGAGCTCCCCGCGCCTCCGCCGAGGCTCTTGCCAAACTTTCTCCCGGGCCCTGAGCGGCTGCTGCGGCGGCGGCCGCGAGGCGTCCCGGCGCGGGGACCGGCAGCAGCTGCCGCGGGCATCGCGCCCTCCCGCAGCCGCCTCCTCCTCCGCCGCCTCCTCCGCCGCCTCACCTGCCGCCGCTGCCCGCGCCCTCCGGGGCACGCCCCGGGCCCCCGCAGCTCCGCCGCTGCAACTTGAACTTGAGAGGCGGCGGCGGCGCGGGGTCCCCAGTGCCCGCCCCGGGCAGCGGCGCCTGTCGCCGCTGTCGCTGCTGCCGCCACCGCGGCCACCGCGGCCGAGGGACCGAGCCTGACAAAGAGGCGCCCGGGAGGAGGGGGCAGGTAGGAACCCGGGCCGGGCGGCGGGAAACAAAGGGAGCGCGGCTGCCCTTGGGGCCGGCTGCGAGCACGCACTGATTGTTTTCCCTTCCCTTTCCCGGTGCTGCCGTCCTCCTCTTCATCCCCCTTCTCCTGCACTTCTCCTCCTCTTGCTTCTCCTCCTCCTCTCCGCTTCTGCTCTTGTTCCTCCTCTCTCATCTCTTTTCTTCTCCCCCTCAACCTGCACTCCTCTTTCCTTTCCTCTTTCTCCATTCCTCCTCCTCCTCTTTTCCCAGCCCTCCTTCTCCTCCTGTTTCTTCATCCCTCCTTCTTTCTCCTCTTTTCCCATCCCTCCTCCTCCTCCTCCTCCTCCATCTCTCCACTCCTCCTCCACCCCCCCCGCCCTCCTCCCCTTGCCCTCTCCCCTGCGTTGCTCTAGGATCGGAGGAGCCTTCGGGGGTGCGCCTCGGTCGAGGTTGGGGCTTTAGCCATAATAAATGATAGAGGATACAATGACTTTGCTGTCTCTGCTGGGTCGCATCATGCGTTACTTCTTGCTGAGACCGGAGACTCTCTTCCTGCTCTGCATCAGCCTGGCCCTGTGGAGTTACTTCTTCCACACGGACGAGGTGAAGACCATCGTCAAGTCCAGCAGGGACGCCGTGAAGATGGTGAAGGGCAAGGTGGCCGAGATCATGCAGAATGACCGGCTTGGGGGGCTCGACGTGCTCGAGGCCGAGTTCTCCAAGACCTGGGAGTTCAAGAGCCACAACGTGGCCGTGTACTCCATCCAGGGCCGGAGGGACCACATGGAGGATCGCTTCGAAGTGCTTACCGACCTGGTGAACAAGACCCACCCGTCCATCTTCGGCATCTTCGACGGACACGGCGGCGAGGTAAGCTTTCCCGGGGTGTGGGGAGAGAGAGAGAGAGAGAGAGAGAGAGAGAGAGAGAGAGAGAGAGAGAGAGAGAGAGAGAGAGTGTGTGTGTGTGTGTGTGTGTGTGTGTGTGTGTGTGTGTGTGTGTGTGTGTGTGATGTGATGACCAGAACCCGGAAAATATCAGGAGGAACTGGAGTGGACGAAAGCAGCTGATGCGAAGCCCCTGGGGGGGGATAGAGTTTGCACCTGACCTTTAGAGGGGAGGATCCGAGCCCCAGAACTACTCCTAAGCTTGGGGTTTCTTATGCGACTTGATTTTAGCCGTGCTGGAGGATGAGACCCCCAGTTAAAGTGGGCTGGCTATGTCTGTGTTTGCAAGGATGATCGAAACGTTCAGTGTAAACGCTCCGAGCGCTTTGGGAGCGACCGCGGGTTCCGGTCCCCTGTCCCCTAGTCCCTGATCTGGGCGGACCCGGGCTTTCTGTGTCGAGGGTTACGAGGACTGCTTGCTCGTGTGGAGGCGGTTCTGAGTCCAGTGGGTGGGTTGAGGACCGGACAGGGCCAACGTCTGCACTTTCCCCATCCCCTGCCCCTGGATGGACCCCCTCAGGGAGCAGAGCGAGCCCCGAGTTTCTTCCCAAACTCGCAACTTTTAAGAGGTGGCAAGGCAGGCTGGGGGCTCCACGAGGATGCCCGGGAAGGTTCCTCGATGGGGGCGAGGCATCGGGCAGAGCAGGGGCAGCCTGGCCTCTCTGCCGCAGGATTCGGGGTGCGAGCTCTGGGAGAGACCCTGAGTAGCTTCTGCGTGTTTGGGGAGGGATGGTGGAAGAGCAAGGTGGAGGGCAGCCCGTGCCTTGGATGCCAGACTGCCAGGTTTGGGGGCTTAGGGAAAACCCGAAGATCCCCCTCCTTGCTCCCCATTTCCTAGCACCCAACTCACCAGCCCCCTCAACGTGATGGCCTTGGGAAGCGAATTTCAGTCATCCTTGACACCGCTCATATCCCCTGGACTCTCCTTTGTTTCTTCGCCTTTCCTCTGGCTTCTGCCTTGGTCCTCTCCTACCTCCTCAACTCCCTTCTCCTTCTGTCCTGTCCTCTTTTCTTTCTGCCCTCCTCCCCTGCCTCCTCCTGCTGCTTCCTCCCCTCAGCTGCCCGGCTGCAGCCCCTCTGCTCCCTGCCTTTGGAGCCCTCTCTCTCCTCCCCTCCCACTTGTGTCCACCTGCCTGGCTTTTTCTAGACATTCTAGACAATGAGGGCTGCCGAGGTGCTTCGTAGTTTGTGTGTAGTTTTTGTTGGACGTTTTGCTTTGATGTGACTATGCCAGACTCAGACTTTCTATTTGTGAAGTGTGACGCTTGTTGACTGATTAATTTTCCTCCTTCTTCCTTCTCTCTCCTCCTTGGGTGTCCCCCTCCCCCCAGCCCCTTACTCAGTTTCTCTTTTTCTTTCCAGGTTTTTACTGTTTGTTACGTCTGACTTGGTGGATCAATTTTGGTCTCCTAGGAAAGATAGTAGACATACTTCCTTCCCAGTGACATTGTCTCCTCTAATCTTACCCTTAGCGTTTCACATACAGTCTTTGGAATGGTCACATCTCATTGTTTGTGATTATGCCCCATTTTGGGAATGAAGCATCTTTTTCTGGGACCGAGAAGAAAAGCGGGGGAGGATACAGATTAAGTTGTGGCAGGTGTGTTTAGCTCATGGGTGAGGTCATCCTAACATGCCTGATTGGTAAGAATACAATTGTCATGGGTGATTTGCTTCTGAGACTTGGCTAATCACATTCTGTCTGCCTGCAATAATGTCATGATCTTATGCTTACAAACAGGTTTTGCAGGGTAAATTATGTTACAGTCGTTGTCAGCCCCTGACCCTCTAGAGATCACAGCCAGTCTTGGGAAGCCTAGGCTTAAAATGAAAAGTCTTGCTTTGTTTACCCAAGATCTTTTCCTTCTATAAAATCAAGTGGTTCTCTCTCTCTCTCTCTCTCTCTCTCTCTCTCTCTCTCTCTCTCTCTCTCTCTCTCTCTCTCTCTCTCCTCCCTGTCTCTGTCTCTGTGTTTTGAGATTTCATTGGTACAATTAGACTACTGCCCTGCAATGTTTAGTTGGAGCTGCATTTGGGTACTAAGAGGTTAAGTGACTTGCCCAGGGTCATAGTCAGTATGTGTCAAAGGTAGGACTTGAACCCAGATCTTCAGAGGCCAGTAATCCCTATCCCTCCACTATGCCTTGGTGCCTTACCATTTATGCTTATAAATGTATTTGTGAGGGTGCATCTTATTTTATTTTTAGGTGATCCTTTTAAGACTTGAAGTTTTTGAATGTTGTCATTTGGGTCAAGCTTGTTTGTATATTTGGGGCCATACGGGAGTATGTTTTTTTAGTCTCTAAAATTTGGCACAGTGGATATCTCAAAGGAAAAGCAGTTAGGTATGTTCATGATTTCAGGTTGAAACCTTTTCTGTTTCTATCCAGTGGTTCATGTGTCTCCATGAAAACACCAAATAGGTTTATGATAAAGGCTTCTGTTGTAACAAAAGCATTTTACAAATACCTGGTTTTGCATTTTAATTTTTTCACACTGGAGAAAGCAAGATTGTTGTTAGCAGACCATGAAGCACCTGGTTTATATGCCTTCCATTTAAAAAAAAAAGAACCTGGTGCTTTCACAACACTTAATATCATTAGCATAGCTTTCTTTTTGTTCCAACTGAGCCTGGTGAAAACAGTGCAGTCTGTCGGCCTCCTACAGAGGACTGACTGCTTGGCCAGTCCATCTTTCCTGCCTTCATCCCACCAGCACATTGCATTGTTTGGAGGCAGAGGAAGGATGGCATGCCCTAGAAATGAGGTCACTGGCCTTGCAAGGGGTTGAGGGGGTCTCTTCTTTGCTCGTGGCTTTTATGAACAACAGACAAGCATGGAACACGGCCCAGTTCCAGTCCCAGCTGAGCTTCTTCCCACCTGTGTGGTCTCGGACAAGCCCCTTCATGGGATCATGGGCTTCGAGCCAGTCCCCAGGACCAGAACCTGGGGCCCCGACAGGCTTCAGTTTCATTTTTTGGTTCCTATGGTCAGGTACCTTTGTAGAATGGGTCTGTGGGTTGTTTTGCTGCATTCATCAGGATTAAAACCAGAAAAAATTCCAGTATTGCATCAATAGATGGGAAGCATCATCATTTCTACTGTTTTAGGGTATGCTAGACACAGATATGAGGCTTCTTTCTCCTTTACCAATCTGCCATCCTTGCTTGGAGAAACGTTCCTTGCTGGGCCTGGGTGTTGCTCTTGCTGGCTCACGTGGGCAGAACGTATCTGGAATCAGCTGTTATGGGCCCCTTATGGGGCTTATCTGCCTGGATCTTGTTTCTTACCGTTTCTGTGAAAACACTTTCAAGAGCATTTAGTTTCGACTGATGTTTAATGTGCTCAGTCTAAGTCTTTGGAGGGAACTCATGGCTTCACATATTACTCTTACAGGTATCACCTGGGCAGACGCCCTAGTAATTCTGGGAAAAAACCAAGACGAAAAGCAGCCAGCACGGAGGTTGTGATGGTGGTTCAGTTAAAATTTGTCTACCAGGGGACCAGTCCTTCAGCAGAAAGTGACCTAGATTTGGAGGCAGAGGACCTGGATTCCTGGCCTCTGCACGGTGCCCACTGTCTGACATGGGGCCGGCCTCTTCACTTCAGCTAGCTTTCTTACGCTGGGTGCTTTGGGCTGGGGTTATGAACACAAACTAGAAAGTGGGTCCCTGCCCTCCAGGTGGGCAGTGTCTCTTAAAATGAAGGGTGGTGAATGTAGGTGACCTCTTGTGGTCCTTTCTGCTCCAAGTCTGTGAGCTTTAATTCTGAACTCAGTTTTTAAAAAAAATCCTGAAAAGATGATCTTTAAAAGCTCATCTGTTTCTAGTGTCAAATGTTGCTGTTGAGTCAACAAGTATTTATTAAGCCCTCACTGTGTGCTGGGGACTGTGCCAAGGGCAGGCGATGCAAAGAAAGTCCCCGACAGCCCCTGCTCTCATGGAGCTCCCAGCCTAAGAAAGGAGACGTGAAGATGTCTATGGTGTCGTTGGAGGCTGTTCTCCAAAGGCAGGAGGGTTGGTGCAGAGTCTTGCAGGAAGCCAGGGAAGCTGGGAGTCAGAGGTAGGGAGGGAGAGCTTTCCAGGCAGGGGACCGCCGTGGCAAGAGCGTCATGTGTGGGGTGCATCAAGAAGGCCAGGGCCCCTGAAGCACTGAGCCCAGTCAGGTCAATCAATGGGCGTTTATTAGGTGTTGGGCACTGTGCTTCCAATGCTGGCTAGCACAGTGATGTGGTCAGACCTGTGCCCTAGGAAGAGACGTCTGGTAGCTGAGTGGGAGGGTGGGTTAGAGTGGGGAGAGACGAGGCAGGGAGACCACCCAAAAGGTTGGTGCAGTGCTCCAAGGTTGAGGTGATGGTGAGTAGACCCATGGATGGATAAAACATTTGTTAAGTGCTTACTGTGTGTCAGGCACTGGGCTGAGTGTTAGGGATAAGCAAAGCAAGACAGTCCCAACCCCTGAGGAACTCACATTCTCCCCTGAAAAGGAGCTAGAAGAGGGAAGCTTGGCATGGCGTCAGGATGGCGAGGAAGGGAGAGGGACCTGCATTGGGCGAGGTTGGAGAAGGAACTCACCAATCCCAGCCAGGCTGGGCCCCAGGATAGAATCCAAGATTCTATCCAGGAGAAGGAGGACCAAGGGATACTTCTATTGTCAGGCGTGGTTAGGAGCCAGAAAATGCTGTGATTGCCTTTGGACATTGGCCTCAATGGACGTCCTCTGGGCTGTGCAAGAGGGCCAGGAAACCTCCTCGACAGGCTCGGGGTGGATTGGCCCCATGTGGCAAGCACTCTTTGTTGGACCGTTGATGTGATGATCTTACCTGCCGTCTTGCTTAAACTGGTACCACAGATTAAACAATTTGCCAGGAAGGAGAGCTTTCTGTGGTCCAGTTTGACCATGCCTGTGATAAATGGACAGATAATT